GAGTATAGTATAACATAAGAATGGGTTAGTTGAGTTGAAGTGTTATTATGAATGCGGTCTATTCAAGTGTTTATGATTGATTACTAAGAAGAATAGGAAGTAAAACGCAAACCTAACGTACAATTAATGACATACAATTAAGTTGGAGTTTATTTTCCCACCTACTACACACTTGCAGATGCTGTCATACACCTCTATCTCTTGCGTAAACTAACTTTTCAAACATTTAATATCTTTCACTAAACTCTCTTTTTTTTTTTTTTCAAACTTTTTAAGAACAATAAACATTTCTTCTTTTACGTCCATTTGGTTAGACAAACATTGCTTCTATATTTAACTTCTACAAAATGTATAAACTAAAATGGACTCAACATACTTAACTCAAAAAATTATTCATTCTAAAAATAAGAGTAGAAGCTTTATTCTTTTTAATATTTTCAAATCTATACTAATCTTTGTATTTAAAGAATAATAATAAATATAAAAAAAAATGATAACATCTTTGATTTAATTTTATTTTTTATTTTTTAAACTTTTTTCGAAAATTAATTTTAAAAATCTGTTTTTGAAAATCAGTTGAAAAAAAATACTTGTTTGTTAATTTTACTTTTATAAATTGTTTTAAACGAAAACAATTATGAAAAAAGGTCATGACGAAAATTGGAAGATGAATTTATTGGTAAAAATATTGATACTTGTTAATGATAATAAAAAAATTAAAAATTGAAATCGAAAACATTTTAAAAAACCTACAAAAAAATATTTTTTAAATATAGTTTTAATAAAACTGTTCTTAAACAAAGTTTTCAATTTTAAAAATAAAAAGTCCAAAACTGTTTAAAAAAACAAAACAAACTGCTTGATTCAATTTTGTTTTTGACCTTTTAATTTTAAAAAACTACTTTTGAAAATAAGTTGAGTTGTTTTCATAACTTTATTTTTAAAATTTATTTTAAATTACAGAAAATGATACGAAAAGTCGTGATATGATAAAAATTAAAAGATAATTTTAATAAATTTTTAATAATAAAAATGAGTGATTATTGATGAAAACATTAGTACTTATTAATGAAAATAAAAAAATAATTTCTATTCAATTTTAGTTTTTTAATTTTTAAAAATTAAATACTTTATATTTTGAAAAAAAATGTATGTTTTACAACGAAAATAATACTATCTTTTGAAAGTAAAGTGAATGTAGCTTTTATCTTTATATAAAGCAATTATAAATAACAAATGTTTTCCTCCTCCAACTAGCATTATATAGTCGCTCTTTTTATTCAAAGTAATGTATTATGAACCGGAGAAAGTACGTTAAAAACAATTGAAAAAAAGAAAAAGTACTAACTTTAATTTTTATTATTATTATTATTTTTTTTTCAATTTTTTATATTTTATATTTTATTTTATCTATATATTAGGTTGTAAAACCAATTATTTTCACCTAATTTCCTAGTACTGAAATAAATAGGAAAAAAAGACTGTATTTTTGTAAATATTTTATTAAAATAAATAAAAGTTATTAATATATTTATTTATTTAAAATAAATTTAAATGAGATTTAAAAGGAAACATACATCATATAAAAAAAATTAAATTCATACTAATCAAAAACATTTAATTACATATTATTTAAAAATAATATACATTTTTTAAAAATATCTGTTCGTAATATGATTTTATATTAAAAAATTACACTGAATTAAATTAAATTTTGATTAATTTCAAATAAAAACTTATCAAATTTTATTATAAGAAAGTCATTAACAAGGTTTCAAATCCAAAATTATTAAAAATTTAGGTTTTGTTTGTTTATTTTATTTAAACAAATATATTTTAATGTTTTATTTTTAAAACTTAAAAATTTTGTTTGATAAATAATTCATTAAACCAATAAAAGAAAACTAAAACAGATAAAAAAAGTTTTTATTTCTTTATTTTTATCGGTATAAATCTTTATTAATAGTCACATTATACATTCAATTTTATTATTACGACCAAGTACTCAAAATCATTTTTCAACTTTTTAATCACAATATTTCATGGTTGATATTATTATTTTTCCTCTATAAATTTTTACATTATAATTATCAAATAATTTTTAAAATTATTTCTTAATTTAATTTTAAATTAATACTTAAAATTAATTTTAAAACTATATGAAACAAATAAAATGCTTGACCAGCTTATGTCTATTTTGGTTTCTCTTTAAAAAAGAAGTTGGGCCACACAGTATTTATATACAAGTTTTAAAATTTACAGGGAGCTTATTTTAAGATAATCTTGTGTAAATTAAAATAAATTTATATTATATTTTAATTTATAAGTATAATTTTTTATTAGTGAACGGTCATCGTTGACTTTGGTAAATTAATTTTTTCTTTATAGAAAAAAACAATCCTTGTGATTTTACATCCAGCCCACTATTGTTATTATAATTAAAAGAATAATAAATTCTAAATATACCTATATATTTGTTATTATAAAATTATTATCTCTGTTTATTAATATAAAGATTTATAATATTTTTTCGTCAAAAGATATTATATATATATATATATATATATATATATATATATATATATATATATCAAAATATTTTTAGATTAGTCTATACTATTTTTTTAAAGATATATATTAAGACACGATCAGCACAAATTTAAACACCTATTAAACGCAATAATAAGGTAAGTTAACAATAAAAAAAATTGTCATTACTTACAATTTTTTAACATTTTCTAAAATTATCATATCAATGTATATATAAATATTGATATGAATTCATTTATAAAAAAAAAAATCCAACCAAACTCAAGAATTTGATGTTAATATCCAATTATATTTAGTTAAAAAAATTAAATTGACTATTTTGTTTACCACTAATAATGTTAAAAATAAATATTTGTATTATAGTTTATAATACTTCATTTTTAAGAAATAACGTGAAAAAAACTCTTAGTAACTTCAAATTACATATATTTTGAGAGTTCTACGTGGATAAAATAATTTATACAAATTTATATTGAATATAAGCGTAAATAAGTGGATTATAATATCTCACAAAGAGTCAAAGTGTAAAGCAAATTATAAATTCACTTAAAGGTGAGTAAAAAGGAGACACTTGCGTTAAACTATTGAGTGAAAATAAGACAATGTTGATAACGAGAAACACTACTTAGTGAAAGAGAAAAATGTTGAGCGATTGATGGATGATCTTAGTGTCAAGATAATCCACTAAGGAAAATTAGCAAAAACGTTAAATAATTAGCAATAGCGCCAAACAAAATAAAGTTCTTTGAAATGAAGAAAATTCAATCCGAATATATTTATATGATATATAGTTAAAATAGAAAACAATTCAACAAAATAATGTATATACTGTACATGTCTTTTCTTATATTCTTATCTATGAGACCAACATTACGGGTGTATTTACATTTCAAACAGATCCAAGTTATTAATGAAGACACATCCTGGTACTAATTGAAAGATCGCTTTCTTTAATAGCTGTCTTGTTAGATAAATCATAATTGTATAGTTATGTTTTAGCTGGCTCGGATGTTATGTACGTGGATCCTACAAGGATTCAACACATTAAAAATGTCATTGCATTTGTCACCCTTTCGAAACTATTGACTTTGAATTTTCAAAATAATTTATTTATAACTATTCTAAATATTATTAATTGTATAATTAAATTTGTTGAATTTCAATGCACCCTTTGAAACTATATAAAAGGAAATATAACTAGTAAAATTAAGGAAAAATAGTTTTCTATAAAAGAAAGGAAAATGTTACTAAAAAAGTTTAAATGAAAATAATCAAAATTTATTATTTTATATTTAGGGGTATCAAAGTCAATCAATTTCAGCTCACAAGATTAGTTCATCATGGACTAAGCTAAAAATATGCGAGTTTAACCCGACTTACTTTATGACGAATCAAACATTTAACAACTCGGTTCAACCCACTATGGGTTGGTGAGTTGACTCACTAACCCATGTTTATTTTTTTTTTTTCAATGTTCTAATAAACACAATTGAATCCCAAGATTAAAAATGTAATGATGCGATAACACGATAAACCATATGGTGCACCTGAAGCAATGTGACTTGGTGACGCGATGAATGCAATGATGTGACAAACGTGGTGGTATGACAAAATCTGTGATGTGACTGAAATACGAGATTGAAACATTGTGACGCGATTGAAACGTGACAAACAAATGATAAGCAACCTAGGTGTAGCGACGAACACAATGATGTGGACAATTGGTGAAAAGCTTGAGTGAGAGTTTAACTTGTAGTGGTGATATGAAGTGAAGGTGGAGAGATAAGATAACATCAATTAAGATTACTAAATTATTATAATTATTTTTAAAATTTAAAATGATTGGTGGGTTATGGGCCAACCCACCATAATCCGCCTATTACCGGTAGAATTAAAAAAAATCGAACCTAACCCAATTTGAACCTGTTGTGAGTTAGGTTGACTCATGAGTTACAAACTATATTGATACCTCTATTTAAACTGTTATTACAAATTGTACATAGACAATGTGTTTATAACAAAAAAACAGAAACAAAAAGTTAGTTGGGCTTAAACTAATATTCCAACAAAATCTATCATTATTAATTACTTAATTATTGATCAACATAACTCTCTAATTCAACAATCAATTTTTACGTTTAAACTTTTCCTCAATATTTTAAATATTTGAGTTTTTATAGCTTTACAGTGTTTCAGCTTCGTCACACTTCATACTTCACCCTTCTTTAAAATCCTCAATCGATATAATTTTATTGCCACTTAATAGTAGATTGTTCTAATTCGATCTTAGCATATAAAGCTAAATGAACTAGATCACTTTTATTCTTAATTTCTTCAATAATTTGTTCTGATATTGTAATTGTATCATCAATATTTATCAAATAATCATCAATATGCACCTTGACAAGATTTCTTACTTATTTTTCACTATGCAACTTTCACAAGTAACTTCACTCTTTTGAATTTGGGGTAATCCTGTTACCATCTTCTTCTTTGCTACTTGACTCAGGCTATTGAATTTCAGGTGATCATATCTCAAATATCATAACCAGTTGATATCAGCTGCAAATTACATATGATTTAATATTGAAATATAAACTTTAAAGGTCTTGTTACTCAAAGGAGCCTTTAGAATCAATGTTCTATTTTTATCAAGAATTCTTAATATTTTCTCCTTCGATCTTCAATTGATTAAATGCCTTTTTTTGCAGAAATTGATCTATACTGAATAGGTTGTGCTTCATGATTGACGAGAATGAAGTTATTGTAGATTTCTCATTTTTTTTTCTAATCAAAATCGTCTCTTTTCCTTCACAGTTTATTGTAGAATTATGTGCATACTTCACCTTAGTTTTAATCTTTTTATTCAACTCTTCTGAAACGACATATGATTTGAACAACTTGTATCCAAATATCAAGATTGACCATATGTTTTATCTAGTTTTTGTATGGTCACCATCAACAAAATTTCATCCTCGAAATCTTCCTTTCGCGCACCTATTTCTTTTTTTAAACCTTTGCTCCATCAATCAGTTGCATAATAACCATATTTTTTACAATTATAGCACTATACATTGGCTTTATTACCACCAGAACTAAATCAACCACCTCTTCATTGTAAATTCCTGCCTCTACCATCTCTTGATTGTGAGAAACTACCTCTCGAATGTGAGGAACTACCTCTCGAATGTGAGGAACTACCTCTTGATTGTGAGGAACTCTCATGTTGTCCTCCTCTTCATGAATATTTTGAACCTCGACCTCCATTATTTCTACCTCGGAAACCTCTAACACAACCTCTCTTGTTGAATTTGTCTCAATTCTGATCATTCTTCTGATTTTGCTTAGCCAATCAAATTTGTTCTAAACTAGATTTCTCACCTACTCTTTCATGAAAATGTTGTTCATGAGTCTCCAATGACTTCTATAATTCTTCCAACTTCAGTAAATCCAGATTCTTTGATTATTCGCGATAGAAATCATATCAAATCTTACATTGAGAGTCATTAACACCTTATCAATCATTGCTCGTTCTTTTAAAACTTCACCACATGATCTCATCATCAAGTTTTTGAGAAAGAGCAATCTTATAAAGTATTCTTCAATGTTTTCTTGAGTTCTCATCTGCTGAGGACGTAAGATTTGATGAAGTTGTACCGTTTTCATCCTTTCTACCCCTTTGTAGCTTGCATATCTCATATTTCTTTTGTCCTATTAGGTTTTACAATTACGTTTCTTTATATATCAAAACATAGCACATTGTGTTTTTGTGAGATTTTTCGGTAGCTTGTGACATCCAGGTAGAACAATATCTAAGACTTATTGAAATTCAAATATTATATTTATCTTCACGCAGCAACAATCTTAATTATTCAAATTCTTACTTTCTAGCATTAACATATTATCTTGAAATTTATTTCCTATATTTTCATTAATTTTTTCAAATTTTGAAGATCTTAATACCACTATTAAAAAAAAAAGTCTTCGATAGAATATGAAAAGTATAAAATATTATTAAAAAAGGTGTTATTAGAATAAAATAATAGAAATTTATTTTTTTACCTTGTTATTAAACCTGTAGATAACCATTATATTTATATATATAAAAAAAACACAAACATAAGTTGAGCATGAATTAATGTCTCAATTGAATGAATTATTATTAATGTTGAATTACGAACAAAGAGTGAAGATTCAAATTGAGTCTGTGATATTTTTATTTGGATCAATTAATTTTAATTTTTAAGTATTCATTTATCACTTTCTTCAAATAAACACATTTACTTTTATAAATTTATTCGAGATTTACATTTGTCACACCATATACATTAATCAACTGGCCAACTTTATGCTTCAGAAAATGCCAAATCGTAGAGGAAAAAACAAATGAGCCAAATGCCTAATTGTAAAAAAAAAAAAAAAAAATGAAGTCACCAAAAAAATCTTGAATGTTCCACACAAATAAATGAGAGCGAACATATTAGTGAGAGGAAATTTATATAAGTAATGGAAGATGAAGATCGCTTGATATGCAAAAGTGAAAAGAGAAGAGAGAAAGGAAATATCTCGTACCTCAGATTGTTTCTTGTGATTATTATAATCATGGAACCATGACAACGACAATAAGTCAACGGCTGCAAGAACGACTGAATGGTGGTAAAGATAAGATTGAGAAATAATTAAAAAAAATAAGTCAAAATTATTTTTTTAGATTTTTAAATTAAAAAATTAAAATTTTGATCAACTTTTTTGTTCGATAATAAAAATAAATATAAATTTAACTGAATAAAAAATATAAATAAAATTAAAATATAGGATGAGAATGAATTAATTAGCTTTTTTTATAATTTAAACATGTATTTGTTATTTTTAAATTGAACGTGAAAATATAAAAAATAAATTGAAATTATGAATATGATAATTAATTATGTATTATATTTTTATAATTTTTTTATTTAAATAATTATTTTATTATAATAAAAAAATCACTCCAAACTAAATTATAAAATATTAATTTTATATGATTTGAATGTTTAAAAAAAAATTAAACTAAACCGTATTTAAATTTTATGTTTAGTTTGAGTGATTTTTTCAGTGAAAAATTAAACTAAATTACCCCGCAAACATCTTTCTTAGATGGGATTATGTTTTTATTTAATAAAATAAATATTAAATATTTATTTAAATAAATTATATTTCAAATTTAGCTTTTCATTTATATTAATTAATAAAATATTTTTAATTTAATAATTAATACATAAATATTTACGAATTAAATAAATAATAGGTTCATATTTATTAATTAAATAATGAAATAATTTATAGATTGATATTTATTCATTAAATATTTAATAATATATTATTTATTTACTAAATAATTATTAGATTAATATTTTTAATTCATTCATTGATATATTTTAGTTAAAGATTTATTATATTAATTTTTATGATAAAATAATTAGTAGTTTTTAGTAATATATATATATATATATATATATATATATATATATATATATATTATTGAATTTTGGTAAATAATTTAGTAAGAAAGATTATGTATAAAAATGATTGAATTGATTTTCATACATTAACATTACAGATATATTCGATTTATCAAATGGAAAAAAAAAGTGTGAAGTTTGGATTTTTGTATGAGTGGATGTATAACGTATAGATTTATTAGAAATACAGATGTGAGTCAAAATAGTGGAAATGGAAAAATTAAGTATTTTATAAAAAAAATTACAATTTAATGTTTTAAGATTTTTTTATTAAAAATATGTGATATTTTCTTTTATTTTCTTTTAATATATGTGACATTAATAAAAATATTTATTAATTTCATCCTAAATATTCAACATGTACATAATATGTAAATAGAATTTTTAGTGAATGTGTGAGTAATTGTGTAACGAATACTATAATAATAACTTCACAAAATAGTAAACAAGTAAATAATAATATCTATATTTCATTATATTACTATAATTGGAATATAGACTGAAATCGATTCACTAGTGGAACCTTATAACATAGTAACATAAATTATTTATACCGATACATGCAAAAATAGTTCCTACAAAGCTATCCCACTGAACTATTTCTGTTGTCCAGTAGTCGCATCTCCATCTCTCAACTCTTGATCTGCTCCCACATAAAAGTGATCATCACAATCCCATCCACATGGAAAAATAGGGGTAAGTATTAAATTATTCGATATAATAAAACATGTATAGAAGTAATAATTACATATTATCATCAATTACAAATCATCAATACACTAAGACGTCTTTCAGAAGTCTATCCTAACTATGTCCGAACTCATAAGCTATCATCTGTGGGCACATTGTGATCGGCACCCGCAGCATCCATTCTCGACCACCTTCCACACGAGTAGGATTACTGGCGCCCTTCATCACTCATACTGGAGTACCCTCCGAGCGCGCCACCGGTCATCCCCCATCGACTTCTCACCGCCTGATCTCGTAGTCTACCTGACCCGACCAATTAGTAAAGTCTAGGACCTCATTCAGAATCTTCCAACATAGTTATTACACTAATGTACTTTGTACCACCCCGAGTAACATTCAAACACAACAAAAATCATTCACATTTACTGGATTCTGGACCACCTGTCCTCACGGCTCATTCAAGTCAATAAATAATAGTACTTTACTGATTCTGGGCACCAACCCTCCAACTCAGTCTAGCCAATACATAACATCTCATGACTGATTATGGGCATCAGCCCTTAGACTTAGTCCGACCCACACACGTCACAACACACTACTCGAATATTTAAAACTGCTACATTCATTCTATATTTTAAATATATATATATATATTTTTTTTTCCAAAATCATTAAATTACTATTTTGCCCTTAATCTTTTCTCGAAAATTCCATGTACGTCCTTAAATGACTATTTTACCCTTGGACATTTTTGAAAATTCCTTCCATGTCCCAAAAATAATTATTTTACCTTTGAACATTTTCGAAAATTCCTTTCATGTCCCAAAAATGACTATTTTACCCTTGAACATTTTCAAAAATTCCTTCCATGTCTCGAAAATGACTATTTTACCCTTGAATATTTTCGAAAATTCCTTCCATGTCCATTTCTTCTTCCTCGCGCAATAGTATCAAATTTTAGGGTTTAGGGTTTAGCGATTTTAGCGATTTCAAATTACTCGGTTTTAGATAATCAAACTAGTCTCAAATTCAAATTAAACATGACTTATATATAATTTAAGTTGAAAACAACAATTTTACCATATAATTCATCCTTAATTTCAAAAATTCTAACAAAATTTCAAGTTTTACAAAACATGAGAAATCTTCAAAATCAATCATTCTAATGTTCAGATTTCCATTCATATTCCTTATTCACAGAGTACTCAACAATTCAGTCTCATATATTGAATGAATTAAACTTCCCCTTACCTGGTGTGGTATTTTTACTGAAATTTTCCCACTTAATTCAAGTTCTCTCCCGTTTCACCAGATCCTGCACAAGTAGAGTCTTAATACTTGAAATTTAGACAAAAAGAAGAAGAATAAGGATGAGAGAGAGAACTACTGATATCTCGTCCCCTTTCTATACGCACATATATAAAAGAAAAATTTTACACAAGTAAAACTTCATTACAAAGTTTTATTACACAATAATATTATTATAATATATAAAAAAATATACATCATGGTTCACAGGTGCTCATAGAATTTTCAATTAAGGTGGGTGATAGAAATTAGTTCGGGTGTAACCATAAATTTAAGTTCAGGGTGCATACATAGAAATTACTTGTGAATAATAATTTTTTTTATATTTTTAATATGTATATATATAAAAGTTTGTTTTATTTATCTTAGGTTAATACTTTTGTACTCTAATTTTATCACATCTGTTATCTTGGAGAAAAAAGAAAATTGAACCTTGATTTATCACATTTTCTCTCCTATCACGTCTAATTTTATTCTTCAAAATTTTATATGTAAAGTTATTTACCAAAAACTTATAATTAAAAAAAATTATATTATTCTCTCTATAAGTATAACATTAATTCATTTTCTTTTTATATATTGATTCATAATTTTATTTAATATTAATATTTTAGATTAAAATATAATATGATATTATAATTTTCTTTTTATTTCGTGGCCAGGCCTATCACCCAATTTGAAATTAATGTAAAATTTTTCAATCTCATTTTATTTTGTTTTGTCAACTCTCCCAATACTTTGAATAAAAATTTTTATTAAAAGAGAATTTAGAAAGAAAATATCTGAGGGTGGAAAAAATAGGAAGCTAACACACTGCAATGATCACGGGAA